CTTAAGTCTGGGTGGCCGAACAGCAGGAATGCATTGTCTGGGTTCTGGGCAGGAAGCCCAGAGTGTCAACAGGTTGGGTCTTTCTGGGGACTGTGAGGTGGAGCCTTGTCTTAACCAAGCACAGCTGCAACCATCTCCTTTCCAACAAGGCCATATCCCGAGGTGCTGAGGTTAGGGTTTCATCATAAGCATCGGTGGGGTCAGGGTCATAGCTCAATTCCAACCTGTGAGAGATCTTAATGGGGTGGCTGGATGTGACAGTTCTCCCAGCTGAGTTCAAAGGGTGAGAGCTCAGGAGAGTGAGCATGCCATAGGAGCGGCTGCAGGGTTCTCAGGGCAGCAGATGCTGAAGAGAAGTGGGGGAGCAAAGAACGCATGGAAGACACAGGGAGAAAGAAAGAACCTCAAGAAGAGTATTCCCTGAGACGGCCAGAGCCTTAGACAGAAGTGTGTCTGAAGGATGGGACAGGAAGGTGGTGGCTCACCAGGTGGGGTACCTGGCTATAGGAGCTTGTAAAGATGCAAGTGGCCATCATTAAAAGGTGGCCATATTCACTCAGTGCCTTCACCTGAAGGCATCTATGCATCTATGGATTCCTGATTCTATGGGTAGCATTACTGTGTGCCCAGAGTCCAGGTGGGAAGGCAGCTTCCACCATCCATAGAATCCAAGTCTGTGGGGGAATGTGCCATGGGGCAGGTGAGGGGGCAGAGGCATAGGATTCCCCAAAACAGATACTTTGTTTTCCACTGTTAATCAAAAGCATCTTGGTGCTGACACTGTATAATTTGGGGTCCTGACACTGTATAATTTGGGGTCTTCAGTTCCTTCCAGGAGGCTCCAGAAGGGCATCCCCTGCAGTCACAGCTGTCAAGCCCCATAAACAATGCCCAAATTACCATGGATGCCTAAATATTTGCTGTTCTGTCTTACAAGACCATCAGCATCTGTCTCTACACAGGAGCTTATCCCAAAGCCCAAAATGCTCAGAGCCAAACAGAACATAAAGTACAATCATTAAGATGAATATATTTAATGTTATTTTCAAAAATTACTGTGGAATTTTAATGTCTAACTCTTGCTATTAAAATCGACACATTCTAAAATTAAGAAGTAATGTTCAAAATGGGATCATGTGAATGTGGGATTGGGAGGGGGAAAATGAAAGTCACAAGGTTGGAGAGATGGCTCAGCCATTAAGGTAACATGCATGTATTGCTCTTCCAAAGGACCTGAGTTCAATTCCCAGCACCACCTCAGATGGCTCACAATCTCCTGTAATTCCAGCTACAGGAGATCTAACACCTCTGGCTTCCAAGGCACCCACACATAGCATATGCTCACACAGACACACTTATATACATACAATGAAAAGTGTGTGTGTGGGGGGGGTGTGTTACTACATTTGTTATGATCCCTAAAAAATTCAACTTCATTAATACAAGGAGAGAGTCATATGATGGCATCGCTTGCAGAGGTGGCTGAGGAAGTCTTGGTAGTGGGCATGGAAGGAAGACTGTTGCAACCTCCATTTCAAGTACAGCTATTGTTTGATAGAGATTAGGAAGTGAATCTGGAGTCCCTCACTCTGAGACTGCCAGCTTCCAGGTCTCAGCCTTCTCAGTGTTGATGAATGGTATCCTTGATATTGCCCTGCTTTTTCTTATTATGACAAAATACCAGACAAAGGCAACTTGCAGAAGACAGGGTTTGTTTTGCCTTGGTGTGAGTGTGCAGTCCAGTGTGGAAGGGCAGCCATGGAAGGAGGGGCAGGAGACAGTGGTCACATTGCACCTGCAGATGGGAAGCAGAAATAAATGACTGCTGGTGTTCAGCCATTCTCTCTCTCTCTCTCTCTCTCTCTCTCTCTCTCTCTCTATCTCTATCTCTATCTCTCTCTCTCTCTTCCTCTCTCTCCCTCCCCCCTCTCTCTCTCTCTCTGTGTGTGATTGAGATTACATCATTTCTCCCTTCTCTCTCTCCAAATTCTTCCATATACCCCTCCTTGCTCTCTTTCAAATTCATGTCCTTATTTTGCATTAATTGTTGCTGGTGGTGGTGGTGGTGGTGGTGGTGGTGTGTGTGTGTGTGTGTACATGTGTGTTTCTAAATACACAAATACAACTTACTCAGTTTGTGTATCTCTTTCCTTGAGGCAAAGGTCTTACTATATAGACAAGGCTGGCCTAGAATTCATGGAGAACTGCCTTTGTGTGCCTCCCAGATGCTGTCACTTTTCCTTTGTATCCAGGCCAGGATCACAGCCCCTGCAACTGTGCCATCAACATTTAGAATGGGTCTTCCACCTCAGTTAAGCTAGCTTAGAAACTCAAAGACAACCCAGAGTTCTGTCTGTTAGGAGATTTTAGAGTCTGTCAAATTGATGATCCATATTGACTCTCACCATGGGATGAAATGCCTTGAAGAACCAAATAGACCATCATCTTCGAAATGAGCAAGGCCTGATGTTCCCAGTATACCCCATAGGTCCATCAGACCAGTGATTTAGTGACAGAGGGGAGGTCCATTGAGATGGTGATTCCTTATGGCCAGCAGCTACAGGAAACTACACTCCAGCTGCAATGCCAAGTCACAGCAGGACGGTCCAAGTTGCCTGGAAGGCTGTCAGCACACTCCTTTCTTTCACAGTTACGGGTATGCATGAGGCCAGAGTCCCTTCCTGAATTTCCAACTAGCACAACATAGTGCAGCATATTGGAGCATGGAAGCAGAGCGGAGTGTCCAGCAAGTCTGGTTCAATAAACCAGGCTCCAGTAGACTTGAAAAGTCTATGACTTTGAAAACTATTTATTGCTCATAGAAATATGTATCTATGCAAACATGAATGGTTGCTTCTTGTTTGTTTACCTGCCGCCACTTTGAGCATTTTGTATAGTGTGTTTTGATCATATCCACCCCCTCCCCAACTCCTCCCAGGTCTATGCGCCCTTCCCTACCCATGTGATTTAGTTTTCTCTTTTTTCTTCTACTTCTCAAGGCCTCTTGTGCTGCCCATATGTTCTTGGATGTCTTAGAGAAATCTGACTCTCCCTCTCCAGTAGCTATTTTGCCAATCGCTCCTTGGCTAGGGCTGAGTCTTCATGAAAATTTCCCATCCTGCCCCGCCGCCTCAGTGTTAGGATTTGCGCTGGCTTGAGCTCTCACAGGTCTTGTGCATGCTGTCACGATCACTATAAGTCCAAACGTTCAGCTGCCCCATTGTGTCCAGAAGATGCTGCTTCTTTGTAGTCTAGATCTCACCCTCTCTTGGCCACCTCTTCCACAGTGATTCCTGAGCCTTGGGAGGAAGGGAGTATGATTTAAATGTGCCATTTAGAGCTGAGCAGTCTGCAGTCTTTTAATGTTTTCATTTAGGCAAGTTGTGGGTCTCTGTAACAATCACTGCCCTAGTTAAAGTTACTATTGCTGTGATGAAACACCATAACCAAAAGCAAGATTGGGGTAAATGAGTCTATTTGGCTAATGTTTCCTATCAAAATCCATCACTCAAAGAAGTCAGGACAGGAACTCAAATAGGGTCAGAGCCTGGAGGCAGGCGCTGATTAAGAGGCCATGGAGATGTCCTGTTTACTGTCTTGCACATCATGGCGTGTTCACTGTTCTTTCTTTTATACAACCCAAGCTGGAGCCTCTGCAATCAACCACTAATTAAGAAAATACCCTACCGGCCTGTCCACAGCCTTAATCTTACGGAGACATTTTCTCAATTGGTGTTCTCTCCTCTCTGATGACTGTAACTTGTGTCAAATTGACAGAAAATTACCCAGCACCATCACCACCTACTACAAATAGAAGCTTTAGTGATGTACTAATCTATGGGAGCATACTAATCTATGGGTATAGTGGTAACTCATCAGCAATTGGTTTACCACGATTTCCATTTATCAGAGTAACAGTAGTAAGTTCTTCCCTAGGGCCTATGACCGGCTGTAGGCTCTTGGCCTAAATAATGGTACCAGGTGTAAGCTTCACCTTGTGAAGCTGGACTTAAATCCATTCAGAATGCGGTAGGTTGCCCCCATGACATCTGTGCCACTGTTGCAGCCATGGCATACCTTGCTAATCCACTGGTTCTTCTAGCTCAAAGTGTTCAGAGCTGGATACAATTGGTGATTCATTCCTTCTGCTAATGTTAAGTTTATTATTTTTAGGTGAAGTAAAAAATGCATATTTTAGAATTATCTGAGTTCTAACATCTAATAGGGTAAATATCAATAGCACCTCTCATATAAACAGAAACCCTTAGAGGGCCTCAAAAGTGTGAAGAGTACCTTGAGAAGCTGTTAAACATGGCCACCTCCTCCAAGCTTTGGGCTCTCTACTTCTGGGAATGAAAGGCTCTAATTCAGTATATTTTTTTCCTACACATGGAATAAGTGTAACACTTATGTCAAAGTCAGTTTCTCTTATAAATAATGACCACATCTCCCTTCAGTAACTCTCCACACTAAATCCCACAGTCTGCTTTCTCTGTGGAGAAATATTGTGGCTGAAGAAGTAACTTGTTGGAAGCTATCAAACATGGGGCCCCAAACTTCCTAAAAACCTAAAGCATGTGTGAAGGTTTCAGACACTTTCCGGACATGCCGTTTGTACAACTCCACCCTTCTGTTTAGTTTCAAAGTCCTATGTTTACCCTAAATTTTAAACAGGAAGAAATGATTTGTGCTTCTGTCTTTGTTGCAACTAAACCACAAAATATCTTGATATTAAAAGGGGGAATAAGGCAGAGGAAGAAAAATAGAATCTGTAAGAGAGAGATGTCCACCCCAGACTAACATATCCCCAGAGGCAAGGAAACCTCAGGCTATTTTTCCCTATTTCTGTGCTACTTAGAAACCCTGCCAGCCCCTGGCCTAGGGGTCCTTGCCCTGAGAACCACCACTTACTGATATTAATGCACATGGGTTGTCAAGTCAGGCATTATCCAAGAGATCCATCTCACTTCTCTTTCAACTCACATTCTTTCTCTCCACAGGAATTTAACGGGTACATTTCCAGAATACCCCAATGAAGAAGACGGAGGCTCAGCTATTATATTTTCCAACAAGACCCCGGAACAGGTAAAAGAATGTATGAGAAGTAAAAAGTAGTTAAACCATGCTCACATTTCCTTAGACTTGAATGAGAATGGATTCAGTTTGTTAAGCTTCCATTATTTTCTTAGAACCACTTATATGACATACCCTAGGGTGAATATCATCTCACAAGTCCTTTCTGGTTTGTTTCACAATCCATTTTTCTTTCTCCTGTCCAGTTTTGAAAAAGCTGTGAAGACATATCAAGCCATTTTTCCTGTCAGGTCTTAACAGTCTGAGTTCTGGTTCCTGGTACCTCCCCTCCCTTTTCCCTCCCCAACATCAGGCCACTGACTCCAGAAGTTCACTCCCCCATCTTCCACATCTCAAGCATGCTCTCTCCTGCTGCCCACATCTGCTCCACCTAGCTCTAAGATATCTTTCCTCAGGTCTACCAGTTAATATTGCCTTGGCAACTCTAACAAATGCAGTAAGATTTTAAAACAGTTATAAATACTTTAATTGACATTTCATTATTTCACATTATGGGTTGTCTTCCTAGAAAATGCAATAATCTCAACATGAACTCATTGATAGATACCCTGTTGTCCAGAATTACGTGTGTAAAACTTTACTGGGAAGATGACAGAACCCTTAGTTAGACAAAGAGAATGCTGGATTGTTTCCCTGAAGACTCACTAAAATAGAAGTATACTTTGTCCCTAAATCTCTACCCTTGATGCAATTTCAGTCAAATCCAAAGTAATTTTTTTTTGGATTGACCAACATATTTTCACGTTTTTATGGAAGAACACATGGAAATCTCCAAAAATGTTTAGTTAAATAATCCGTAATGGTGGAGAAAATGCTATGGGCCAGCTGCTATGCAAAGCACATGCAAACGAGCCCTGGGAAGATCAGGCAACCTGGGCAAACTCACAGTTCACGAACTGTGGCTCTGAAATTCAAACCTCTGTGGACAACTGTGGAATAACTGTATTCAGAAGCCAATTCAGACACAAATTAGAAGCCAGTCATCCTGAGGGTTCCTTTCAAAGCAGGGAGTATGGACAGCAGGTAAAATGATGGCCAGGCCCTCTCAATGGCAGAATCCACTACATCCTTAGCCTCTCCTGATTTGCACAATAAATTCCTCTTGCAATGAATATTTACATATAAAAATGTGAAGCAAAAACTTGACAGGAAATTGCTGGAATGTTTAATAATCAGAAGAATGGGGGATAACTTTGGTAGCGTGTTGTCATAGGCAGAATTCATATAGAAAACAGGCTAATATAATGCACTTCATAAAACTCAAGCGGTGAAAAATAACACCATAAGTGAAATGCTTGCAGCATCTTTGATGAATGGTTCGTTCATATTTAAAGAGTCCTTAGAAAGTAATAAATCATCATCCCCATAGAAAAGGCATCAAATGTGAACAGAACGTTCTTAAAGGAAAAAAAAAAAAAAGGTTTTAATTACTGGCAAAGACCTTTCACTATAAAACAGTTTTGCTGTGTCTCTTTATGCACACAACTAATAAAAAATTCTAAGTTAGAAAACCAGCTCAGTGTGCCTGAGGAAAATGTCAATCTCAAACACTATGGCTGGGTAAATTCATTAGCATGACATCCAGAATTTCAGTGTGGATGTTGAAGGACACCATTTGAAGAATATGTACTAAAGAAAATAAGAAGACAGGTTGCCAGAAGTTAGAAATGGTAGACTTTTTCATACATGGCAAATAGTAAGGACCATAGTCTGGATGTGGATACCCTCTGCCATAGCTAAGCACAACCATGATAGCAGAAAGGCAGCCATGATGGTATGTAAATGATAGGGCTGTGAAGATCTGCCCTGAATACCATACCTTATGACCCCTGCCATGGGTGAGTGTAAAAGTTGTTCATGTATGCCTTGTTTATAGTTAGGATGAAAAACACCAGACAGACAGAGAGAGAGAGAGAGAGAGAGAGAGAGAGAGAGAGAGAGAGAGAGAGTTGAAGTATTCTTTGTAGCCCAGGCTAGCCTCAAACTCATTATGTATCAAGGATAACCTTGAACTTCAGATCCTCCTGACTCCAGTACCTTTGTACTGGGGTTACTGGAATGTATCACCACATATGTGTGCACATTGTTAAAGATAGAACGTTGTTAAAGGTAGCTTCATGCCCTCTAGTGTTTTGGGCTTTTTTGGTTAGTTGGTTTGTTTTGGTTTTGTTTGGTTTTTAAGGTTTATTTTATTTTATGTATATGAATGTTTTACCTGTGTGTGTGTGTGTACCTTGTGTTTCTGTGGATGTCAGAAGAAGGCATTGGATCTCCTGAAGCTGGAATTACTGGTGTTTGTGAGCCCTCATGTGGGTGCTGAGAACCCACCAGTGCTCTTAATTGCTGAACCATCTCTCCAGTCCCCCACACCCCTCCAGTGTTCTTATGAGGAGATAAGTACCTGGAGCACCGTGCAGAGCAGGTCCCCACTGTTAAGGTCAGGGTCAGAGACCTCACACCAGCCTCTAAGGCAGACTGCCCGCTGTGTACCCTGTGGCCTATGGGGTCAGGTGCAGGGTTCCTCTTCAACCTGACATGTTCATGCTGAGGCCAGCATCATTGTCATCCCTTCAGACCACACGCTGGCCCTCCCCCAGAGCACCATGAGCATGCAATACCAGCACCATTACCAGGCAGGTCAACAGGCTTTGCCCTAAAAGGCCACCACTTTAACTGTTGTTTTCTTTCTTTCTTCCTTCCTTCCTTCCTTCCTTCCTTCCTTTCTTTCTTTCTTTCTTTCGTTCTTTCTTCCTTCCTTCCTTCCGTGTATGTGTGTGTGTGTGTGTGTGTGTGTGTGTGTGTGTGTGTGTGTGTGTGTGTTTAGGTCTTTCTCTGCAGCTAAGTCTTCAGGAACAAGTAGGGTCTTGAAAGTCAGAGCAGGGCAAGCAGCCAAACACGCTTCACTGTGGTTTAGAGAGCCGTGATTATGGGATTAAGAATGTTGGTGGAATGTCTCAGTTGTCCACAAGAAACATGAAAGGGAGGGGCTGAATCTAGTCAAACTAAAAACAAACCTGAGGGCGCCTGGTTAATACATTCTGATAAAGCAAAGGGGACCACAGGGCAGCTTGACATTAAACGACAGATGATGGAAAGTAAGAGAAGACCAGTGATTACAGACCACATTCCAACAAAGGCTGTATCTGCAGCCTGAGCCTGCCAGTCTAGGGATGGAGATCAGGCTAAAGCTTCCTGCCTGGACCATGTGTGATCAGATGAGAGAGCATGCATCAAGCGCGGAGTTCAATTCCCAGCACTGTAGGGGAGGGGGGGGATACTGGCTCTTTAAAGCTAACAGCACATTAAAAAGGTAAACCATAGTAATAAAGTGGCAAGTATAATGCAAACACACTTTGCGTTTAAGATATGTGTGGATGCTTTGTCTCATGGGAGGTGGACCAAAGAAAAGAGCATGGACTAATCACATGGATGTGGAAGGGTTATTTCCAAATTCAGCATCCCTCCCCCATGCTGAAAAATAAAAACCTCTTTTGAAGTTTTGGTGCCAAAGACACCCTCAAATGTTACAAGCCATTTCTATGGCTCTTGCTTACCCTCCAGAACTTGGTGGAAATACACTATTGCTGCAGATACCACTTGAGACACAGGAAATGGAGAAAGTACCAAGCTGGTATGGACTTGGAAGCTTCATCCTTACTGGCTAGATTTCATAGTGCCAGAAGGTTCTATTTACAGTACTGAGGAAAGAAAAAAAATATTCAACCATCCTATCCAGCTGTGAACCTCATGAACTACAGTACTAACAGACCCTGCAGGACGTGCCCACTGGTGTAACAGTGGCATGAGTATTCTGAATGTAACCAAATACTTTCTGAATAGATCTAAAGCCTTCCATGAGACAGAATTTGTGCCTAGGCTATGTCTAGGTGGGTCATAGGCCATAGGGAAACCTACTACTATTATTCTTCTAAATAGAGTAATAAACTGCTCAGGATCATTGTGGAAGAGGAAAGATTATAAGAGCCAGAGGAAGTGGGTTTCCACAGAGAAACATTATTTGTTGGACCAGAGCAGCTATCAAGCCAGTCAAAATCCCAGGATGGATAGGGGAGGGGATTATGAGATTGCATTGCTATCTAAGGAGCTGCTGCACTTGGTGGCTGCTGAGGAAGGGAGAGTCGGTTTTCTTCAGTGATGTGGCCCATGAGAAGGCTACCCATGCTTCAGCAGATGGTCCTATACCCACCAATGCACATACAGGAAGCACTAAGGGGACTCAGTGTCTGTCTGTGTTAAAGATCAAGCACATGGAATTGGGAGGAAATAATGATAGAGGGGATAGGAGAGGAATTGGAGGAGGTAAGGATGGGGTGGATTTGATCAAAACATTATATGCATGCATGAAATTCTCAATAAATAGTTGAAGTCAATAAAACTGAAATATATCTACCCTTCTTTAACATAACAATGAATTTCCATCTTGGTGTGAAACCCAATGTCATGCCTAATTAAATTCACGAGAAAGTTTCATGGCAGAAACACACAGGAATGGTTGTTACACATAGTTCTGTGTCAACTACTGTGTACTCTCAGACAAGACAAAGGGCAAGACACAGAAACTGGGATGGGCAAGGGATGATGTACTACAGATGTATCCCATACACAGAAAAGCAATGAGAATAGGCTGAAGAGCTGAATAACATTCGGGCTAAAACAGGAGCTGTACACTATTAGTGAGCAGAGCAGTGGATCTGTGTGTGCAAACACTAGTGGAGAGAAAACACCACTGAAGCCATTTACAGCACCAACGTCACCATAAAGATGTGATGCCTGTGGTAAACTCAGTAACAGTTGTGTGCTGTGAGAGAAGACAGAGGGGGGGCTGCCCTTTGCTTCAGACGATCAGCATCACAAAACCCCAGCTCTGCTAAATATTGTTCTATAGATATAATTGATCGAAAATAATCTTCATAGTATTATTTGTTGGGGCCTCAGAGAGGAGAGGGGGTGAGGGTGACCTCTCAAGCTTCAGGCAGAAAACAAATAGCCAAGGATACCCAGTCAAACCTCGAGCAAAAGTGGCCTGTCGGGAAAGAACCAGCCTCTGCCAGGTGAGCAAGTACTGACAAGCTCTAGCTTCCATATACATGCATACACACACACACACACACACACACACACACACACACACACACACACACACACACACGTTCATCCTCTGAGTAGAAAATAGAGCAGGAGCAATCCTCAGGTTGAATTACTTGGGTTTAAAATGTAACAGGACTGGCATGCCCTGCTGCCACTGGCCATCTGGGGAAAGCATGGTGTCTTCTAATGTCAGTGCAAACCCTGAAAAATGTGTAGATACAGAGAGAGGTTATCTGACCTCCATCCATCCTTCCTCTGAGAGCAGACAGACAGCCCTCCTGACAAATCCTCCTCAAGGTAGGTGGCTGCTTCCAGCAGGGATGGAGCCCAGCAGCATGGGAAACATCCTCCTGATCATGCTGTGTGAGGAGATATGATTATTTTGGGTTTTTTTTCCCCATAGGTTATTGAGGATATCCTAGCCAGCCAAGAAGAAGAAGAAAAACTCAAAAAGAAAAAGAAAAAGGAGGAAAAGGAGAATAAGCCGAAAAAAAGCAAAAAGGAGAAGGAGAGGAAAGTCAACATGAAAGAAAAGGCTATAAAGGTACAGAGTGTAAGAGTGTTGGAAGTCGGACTCTCTTTGTAGTCCTTCTGCTGGGCTGTGCCGGGAGGGTAGGGGTAACCTCGAGTCTGCTAAGGCCTCTGTCCCTAGCTTCAGATTTCATTGTATTTTGGGTTGATCAGCATCAGTGGCAATCTTTTCTGCTTTTTATAAATATCTACCAGGATCACTGTCAGTGTGGACAACTCAGTCGGTTTATATAATTTACACAATTATTCCCCCAAAATAAACCATCGTACTTGTCTTTCTTCAAGGCAAGCTGCTTGGCAAACCAAGCAGCCAGTGTGAAGTGAAAATAATCCTGTCTTTGTTAGCCCAAGTGTGCTCATTTGAATTTGTCAGAAACACTGAGTCTGAGGGGATGCCTCAGCAGCACCTTCAGAAATCACCAGTAAAGTGCAAGCAGCTAGCATTTGCCCCAGGAGATAGCTGGGTAAAAAGATATTAGCGCTGCCTTATGTGTTTTAATTACATACTAGGGGAGTCCCAGTTTTATTTCTCTTGCTGTGGTAAAATACCCTGGGATGAAGGAGAGGAAAGCAACTTAGTTGAGAAAGGGTTCATTGCAGCTCATAACTCCAGTTACAGTCCATCATAGCAGGGAAGCCATGGCGGCCTGGCGGGAGCTTGAAGCAGATGGTTACATCTGTCAAGAGCAGAGAGAAGTGAACACATGCATATTACATGCTTGAGTTCAGCTTCATTTTTTCACTCGGACACAGTGGCGGCTGTCTAAAGAATGCTGCTATTCACAATGGGCTGGTTCTTCTAAACCTTGGAGAGACTTTATCTTAAAAATGACCAATTACATTTATAACTAGCCTCTATTAGCAAAAAGTATGCTCTTTCCAAAATATCGTGTAAGCAGAGAGCTGCACATTCTGAAGGTCCATGAGATACTGTCAAATAATCATCACGGAGAAGGAGAAGCCACCTGGGTGGAAGACAGTGATCTGAATGATGGACTTCCAGCTGAAGTCATCAGTGACTTGGTGTCTGGAGTTCCCATCCTATGGATCAGTCGGATGAGGGAAGGATAGAGTCAGTATCTTTGGATCTCTGTGTTTGCACATAAGAATATCATGGAAGAAGGGCAGGAAGATTGTAAGTGACAGGGGACATACATGCCTGCAGCGAGACAGTATTTGCCAGACAAGACATGGCCATCACATGAACCCACAATGGCAAGTCCTGCAAAGGAGGGAGCCAGCCAAAACCTCAGCATGCACTGGGGAGGGGCTTGTGAAGCCATCAAGTGCCAATAGTTCCTCAGCTACTTTTAACCTTGCACTTGAACGCCATGATCTTCATTAGCAACCCAGAGCTGTTGGTGCCTGTCTTTCTCACCCGCACAAAATCAGCAACTGAGCTGGTACAATTTGCAAAACAAAACCGAAGACTACAGTGCTCTGACCCAAATCCTCTCCTTTTTCTTTGATGATTGTGCGTTTGACTTTTGTCAGAAGGATGCCCAGGTTTTTGTTTGAGAAGCAGTGACAGTGAGGAAACAATACTCCCACCACACACAGGTGGTGTCGGGGTACAAATGGAGCAGTTAGTCACCCCGACCATCCAAGTAAGAATCAAAAGGCTTGCTGCACCTATCCGGCCAGTGAAACCTGTGACTCCTTGGCATTGTGGTGTGACGGGCAGGTTCCGCCCAGGCAGGCGAGCAGCAGAGAACAATGCGAAGTTCCTTTAGTATGGAGCAGTATGAGTGGCCCCTTCCCTTTGAGTTTTAGGTTTTTCTCAGTGCTGTGTGTGATGGTGTCATTTGCGAAACTAATGGGGTGAGGTGGCTCCTGCTGTCTCACAGCAGGAGGATCCAGGGGGTGGTGTGAATGCCTTCAGGGGAGTCAGGTCCTACTGTCTGGCCTTGGCGGACAGTAGTGTGTACCCTCGGCGGTCCCGGTCCCTGAGTGACATTTGCACTACTCCGAAGAAAAGCTTGTGGAGGCTCACACTCCTTACCTGGAAACACTGGGCTCATTGGGTGGCAAAAGCAAGCTTGCTAAAGTCATCAGTGATAACATTAGACAGGGGGACATGAAAAGTGCAGGGACAAGAAGTGTGACCTCCTGGCCTGGAGTGGAAGAGGCTAAGAACTCAGATCCATAAGCCAGCTCCCTTACCCATCTCCTCTAAAGATATATGTCCTGTCAGTCAGCTCCCAAATAATGATGCAGAGACTTTTTATTAATTATGAAAGCTTGTTTCTAACTTGCTCATAACTTACATTAACCCATTTATATTAGCCTACATTCTACCACATGGCTTTTGCTCTATCCCATTCTGACTTGTTCCTGTCTGGTGGGCTTCTCTTCCTCTCTTCTCCCCAGAGCCTTCTCTGTCCCTGGAAGTTCCCCCCAACCTCTTCCTAGCTATTGGCCATTCAGCTTTTTATTGCACCAATCACAGCAACACATCCTCACACAGACACAGTGGACAAGTATCCCACAACAGATTGTGTGTGTGTGTGTGTGTGTGTGTGTGTGTGTGTGTGTGTGTGTGTGCAACCAAGTTCTCCACTCTCAACCACCTGGCCCTTGCCTTCCCAGCTCCATGCTGAGCAAGCTGTGAGCATGACACTCACTTGCCCGCAAGAGGCTGGGACTGGACTTGCCTCTACTCAGAACAATCTCCAAGTGCTTGGCTAGAGGGTCATGGCCAGAAAGATCCCATCAGAAAAACACAGGGCTGCAACTAGGTGTGCAGTGCACTTACGCGACCCCATCAGAGTAAAGATTCTGGGGAAATAAATGACCTTAGGATGAAGGTGGCAGATGCAAACTTCCTGGAGGAAAATTCTACAACATTTGTCCAAAGAAGTGATGTATCGGATGCTTAGAACAGCAGCCAAAGAAGAGTTACTCAATGAAGCTGAAGGCTCTTTATCAAAGAAAGACATGTATTTGGAGGGAGCAGCAGAAGCTCCACTGTGTTTTACCCTCCAGTGAAGGCAGCTCCTGTAACTGCCAATTATGTCGTTACTGCATGGAAAGCTGGACCCTATTATGTCATGGGAATTCACCAGGATTAGGTGTTTGCCAAACCAGTCTCACAACGGTTTTTGCCCTTGAGAACTTGATCTGTATTGTAGAAATAAAACAGGCCTCCAGTTTTATGTCTGTGCCTTGAACACCTGTTTGACACAGAGCAGGAAGGCTGTGTGAGATGGTGTTCCTGCCTGAGCCCTGAACAGCGATGACAACAAGCACAGTGATAGTCCATAGCGTGTACAGAGAAAGAGATTCTCATAAAGGAGAAAGTGTGCCACGAGGTGCCAAAGCAGCATCCCAATGGCCAACCCCACCTCTGCCGCCCTGCCCTTAGGCCAAATCCAAAATATGTGCAGAATTCAGCTCTGGGGCCGTCCCTGGCCCTGCCTCTAGGTTTGATATTTCTCTGTGCGTGTCTGCTGGATCTCCCACTTTCCTCCCCTGCTCCCCCCACCACACACACACACACACACACACACACACACACACACACCTGCAAACATCACAGCTCTCAACAGGAACTCCAAAAGCCAAGGAAAGAAATCAAAGCAGAGAGAGGGTAGGAAGCCAACCAGTGCAGAATCGACATTGTGAAATGGCCCTATCACTAAAAGCATCCTACAGTCAATGGAACCCCGTTATGATAAGTTTTTCCAGCCAGCCTGGTCCCACAGCCATGTCAGCCCCAAATAACACACAGAGACATTGTATTGGATATGCTATTGGCTTGTTACTAGTGTTTATTACTGGCTAGCTCTGTCTTAAATATTAACCCATTTCTAATAATCTAGGTATTTCCATGTGGTCTTTTCTTACTGGAGAGAGGGTCTGGATCTCTTTCCTCAAGTCTCTACATCTTGAATCTCTTTCTACTACATCTCCCAGAATCCTCCTTGTCTCTGAGTCCCGCCTATCTTGCCTTTCTATTTGCCAACAGTGCTTTACTCATTAACCAATAAGAGAAACACATATTTACAGAATGACATCTCCCATCAGAACCCCACTCAAGATTCCACTGACATTCCCCACAAACAGAAGAAAAAAAATTATCCTCAAATCCACACGGAGGCACAAAAAAAATCCAAACAGCCAAATTAGTCCTGAAGAAAAAGGACTGCTGTATTGTTGGAGGCATCACAATAGCCAACTTCACACTATACCACAGTAACCAAAACAGCATGGTGCCGGCGGACAGGCATGTAAAGCCGTGGAACAGACCAACACTTTATAAAACACACACCGGAGAGAAGACTGCCTCTTCAAATAGTGCCAGAGACTGGGTACCGCCAATAGAATGGCTTTCACTGAGAATTCGAACAAGAGCCAGGCATCATGGTGCAAACCCTGAGCCAGAGGCAGGCAGATCTCTGTTAGCCGGAGGCCAGCCTGATCTACACAGAGAGTTGCAGGCACCCAGAGCTATAAAGGGAGAAAGACCCTGTCTCAAAGAGACAAGCAAACAAGGAAAAAGAATAGAAACAATAAATGCTAGTGATGTTGTTGGGGGAAAGGAACACTTCTCATGCTGCTAGTGGGTGTAAGTTAGTGCAGCCACTGTAGTGTGGGACCCTCAAAGTCTGATTTAAAGAGAATTGTCTAGCTACAGCACCCCTAGGCATGTGTCTGAGGGTTCTAAATCATCTTACTACAGGGATTTCTATATGTCCATGTTCATTGAGGCACCCTCCACAGCAGCCAAGATAAAAATGACCCTAGGAGCCCATGGACACATGACTAGATTTAAAAAAAAAAAAAATGTGGTCCATATACACAATGGAGTGTTGTTTAACCACAAATAACAATAGTGTGCCGTTGGCAGATGGAACAGATCATCACCTGAAGCAAAAGAAGTCAGACTTGAAAGATGAGTGTTGTATGTTTTCTCCGATGTGTGGAAATTAGGTTTCTAATTTCTAAGTGTATGGGGTTGGGGGTTATTTGAATTAAGGTACCAGAAGGAGAGGAAAGGGGGAACAAACATGGGTGATGGGATGAGTATAGGAAAGGAAAGTAACAGACACACGAGGGAGGGGGAAGACACTGGTGACACTAAGAGTTTTGTCCTCTAATTGGACACAGATTGGACTTCCGCCCGTGAGCACCAGCTGTCACTGCTGCTGGTTCTGTTGTTTGTGACACCTCCCCTGCAGATTTTTCCCGCTCATGCCTAGGTATCTTCATACCAAACATAGGACCACAGCCAGCCCTAAACTAACAGCACCACAGGTGGGGTTCCTAATCAATATGAGATTAAAGTAATCTGACCCAGCAGTCAGATTAGCTGCTTCTCCTACTCTGAGTCCTGGTAGTTCTGGAACAATATTCTTTTCTGGCTCTACAAGGCAGGTGACTCCCTTACCTGCCAGACAAACCGTGGTCCTACACTCCTTCTCCAACCCCAGGATCACCCTGGGCGTCTATGAGACAGCCTGTACCACTTGTTTCTGGTGTCTCTCCTGGTGAGCATGGACCTCCTGGCACCTGCAGCCTAGCAAAAGCCCATGGGAGGAGGGTCCCACCTTGGCCAAGCAGAGCACAGAGCTCATCTTGGGTCAGAAACTGGCTGGGGTCTAACCAGACAGACTTTGAGCATTTCTTATGCGTAGGACCCTCTGAAATACAGTCTTTGTTTCTAGCTTCTCTCAGCTCAGTGCATCCTTGTAGTGGGTGTTTTTGCCTCATTCCTTCCCATGGGTAAAAAGCAGCATAGTATTTGTTATCTGTGGGTTAAGCGTGCGTGTTTTATATTCTTCTTTACACCAGTGCTGGGGTGAAAAGCTGGCTGCTGTCGATTCCTGGAGAAGAGGTACCAAAGCCCAAAATCATCAGAAAGTGTTAGCAGCCAGAAAGAGACAACAGGAGAAAGGAGTCAGGGGAAGGAAAGAACATGCTACTGTACACACAAGACCACATCCTCCTCTGTAGACAGCATCCTCATCCATAGACAGCATCCTCCTCTATAAACAGCATCCTCCTCTGTAGACAGCATCCTCCTACATAGACAGCATCCTCATCCATATGGCTGCAACAGTGTCAAGAGCAAGGAAACAGTCTGGGGACCAGAGCTAGGAGGGCTGCATGCAGTCTGCAACAGGCTGGGACTTTGTCCTATGGAGGTACAGAGCTTATGGTAGCTTCAGGGGTTTGCAGGGCTTCAGTTGAAGGAAGTCTTAAAGTTGGTTAGTTCTTGGCTGAGTCCCTTCTGACAGAGAAGGAGACCCCAAGTCTGACAGTGTACAAACAAGGGTCCTATTAGAAGGCTGAGACAAGAAGAGGGTAAGGTCCCTGGAAGCATGGGAGTCAGAACAGATGTGGTTTGGTACCCATTTGTCTATGGGAAGTAAGGAGGGGAAATAGTGTGGATCAGAGGCACAAAGGTCATGCAGTCTCCAGGGCACGTGGACACACAGTGATTGGTGCCACCACAAAGCCCAACACCAGAAACGAGGAAAGGGAGGACTGTTGGTTTTCCAGTGTCCAGGGACTCACAGCATCCTGGTGAAGAGATTCTTGTAACAACACACAGATGGGACCCAAACCAGGCCTGTAGGAAAGCCACCATACAGAAACAGTGCCTGGCCTACAGATGTCTCAGTAGTCTGACCGTCCATGCCTCCAGTGTTGGTTGTGACACTCCCTGCTCTAATCACGGACCTCCAGCCCACTCAAGTAGAGCATGTATGCCTTTGCTATCTGGTCTTAACAGATAAATTGCACCTGTCATTCACAAGAATATTACTCTGCTCTGAACAGGAAGAAGATGAAGAATGGAAAATGTCACCAAGCCTTTTCCTTCAACTGATGGAGGAAGGGAATAGCTTATACAAAGGTTAGTCCTAGAGGATGCCTGGTACTCAAGGGCTGTCTGCTGAGTGTGCCCAAGATCGGGGTAGGTGGACAGGTCTTAAGTGCTCAATCACAGGAGGCCATGTTGTGTAAATCCATCTAGAACCCATCCCTCTCCTGCTCCTCGTGCTTCCTAAAAACATGAATGGTTGTGATGGCCACTGTCCTTGTTTAAGAAAAGCAACCTGGGAAAGAAAGGGCATGTTCCAGCTTACTGTCTATCACAAAGGGAAGTCAGAGTAGGCACTTAAGTCAAGAACCTGGAAGCAGGAACTGAATCAGAGACCATGTAGGAATGCTGCTTACAGGGCTTGCTCCTAATGGCTGGTTCACTTGCTTTCTTATATGGGTGGCACAACCCATAATAGCCTGTTCCCTCCCATATTGGTCAAACAATGCCTCCATAGATTTGGCTGTATGTTGCTGGTTTCTTTCCAGCATGGTCCCACAACCACCTTTCAGCCCCAAATAAACACATAGCCACTATATTATTAAACTGTTAGCCAATGGTTAGAACTTCTTATTGGCTAGCTCTGCCTTAATCATTAACCCATAACTATAAATCTATGTATTACTACATAGCCTTATCTTACCAGAGAATGTCTGGTGTGTCCTATCTTCTCAGTCCCTCCATGGTGTCTCCTTCGGCAGCCACTCTGCCTACCTTTCCCAGAATTCTCTTCATCTCCTAGTCTTCCTATCTCTACTAGCTATTGGCCAGACAATGTTCTATTCATCAACCAGTAAGAGAAACATATACACAAAAGGACATTCCCCATCAACTATAGGCCAGTATGATGGAGGCAATTTGGTTGGTTGGTTGGTTTTGGTTTTTTGTTTTGGTTTTCAAGATAGGGTTTCTCTATGTAGCCCTGACTATACTGGACTCACTCTGTGGACCAGGCTGGCCTTGAACTCACAGAGATCCACCTGCCTCTGCCTCCCAAGTGCTGAGATTAAAGGCATTTGCAATGGAAGCTTGTTTTAAATAAGACTGTCTCTTCCCAGATGATTCTATGTTAATTTGATGATGATGATGATGATGATCATCATCATAATAATAATAATAATAATAACAATAATAATAATAATAAACTAACAAGCACAGTCAGTTTTCTACTGTCAATTTGACACAACCCAAAATAACCTAGGAAAGCATCTCAAAGAATTGTCTAGATGAGGTCAGCCTATGAACGTGTCTGTAGGGGAGTGAATCAATTATGTTCATTGGTGTGGGAGGAAGACCCAGGCCACTGTTGGTGGTACCATTCATTGGCTTGGGGCCCTGGTTTGTACCAGAGTAGACAGGGCTAGCTGGGTGACATCAAGAAGGAAGCTTTGGAGATTCGTTTCTCCCTATTCTTGACTGTGGATGTGATATCACTAGCTGGCTGAGCCCCTGCATTGACATCAGCCCTGCAGTGATGGACTGTAGCCAAATCAATCTTCCTTTCCTACATTGTTTTTCTTATCAAGGCATTTTTCACAGCAACAGAAATGAAACTAGGAAAATTGAGGAGAAAGACACACACACAATGAGGGAATATTCTAGAACTTTCCCCAGTTGTGCACCCCATAGCTGACTGCACTCTTGCTTAGTGGCATGAAGAAAGGCATTACATCAAGGAAATGAAATCCATATGTACAAATCTTAATCCTTTCAGACCAAGACCCATCTCATTCTGATGACTGTTTTGTCCATGGCTCAACTCCATTAGCATAGCCAGAACCTGGCTGGGTATGTGAGCACAGGGGCTCTGCCCTTTCAGATATCCATCATAGTTTTCCAGGACTGTTATCCAGCTCCTTAGTTCCATTGTACCCTTGGGATAAATCTTAGCTACAGATGATTGGCAAGTGTGACCCTGATCCCTAGTACTATTGTGAAAATGCCTGGAAAATGTAATAAGGATGTAAAGGAGAAAGTTTTCAAATGTCAATTGTGGACCTCTTTCCCAATCTGAGTCTGTTCTGAACAGCACTGGGTCAGCTAGATGGATGGATGGATAGATGATAGACAGGCAGACAGACAGACAGACAGACAGACAGACCAGACAAACAGATGTATATATATTTAATATTGACTCAAGGTGTTTATCCCAGTAAATCGGGTTATATCCTTAACATTAATTTCACTATAGTTATAGGTCCACTATTCTAAATATATTCTAACAGGTACTCTCTTACAAACCACTGGTGGCAGGGACATTCAGGGTGCTCTATGGGGAAGCCAATGGTACCATGGCACTGTTAGTATCTGGCACCTGAACCCACTGAGGAGGAAGGAAGTCAAGGAGCCAACTAACATTCACCAGGTGCCCAAGACATGTAAAAACATAAAGACAAATTTTTGTTTTGTTTTGTTTTTGTTTTTTGTTTTCTTGGTTTTTTTGTGCCCATGTCATTCAATCTTCATAGGAACCAGGCAATGAACACAGTTCTTGCCCTTGTCCAGAGGGACCATTGGGAAGCCTGCCATCTGAGAATTTATCCTAACATTTAATTATAATGGAGCAGAACAGTTGCCATCAGAAACATCTGTCCATTCACATATTCACTCAGAAAACTCTGTCTCCACCGTGCTGGATGCTATATTGATCTGGAGATCCAAAAATGATGTCACCCATCAGCATTCCTGCAAGGCATCAGATGGGGAAGGCCCAAGCTGGGTAGTTGTGTGAATTAGGATGAAAGCAGAGATATGCTCTGAGCAGTCAGGACCTCCAGCAATCCACCCTGCAAGTCCAGGTCTGATGTGTGCATGCCTGCATGTGCATGTGTGCGTATGTGCTTCTGTGTGTGTGCTTGCGCACGAGCGAGCATGTGTGCATGCGTGCGTGCGTGAGATGGGAGGAGAGAGAGAGCAAGAATGATAGTTGGTAAGACACTACACTGCACAGTCTTGTCTTTTGGCCTTTTTACCACCCTGTTTGTGCTATGTGCTCATGGTCTCCCACCAGCCTTCAGGATGGTTTCCACACAGAGAAGATGAACAATGCCTTGTTAATTTTTCTCCCAGACTCTCTCCTGGGATCCCTCCATGCCTTCACAACCATCATAGCACCCCTCCCCCCATCTCTGCTCACTGCCAGCCACACTCTTGTCTTCTCTTCTCTCCCTCACTTTGGAGGCACCATCATCCAACATGTCCTGATCAGGAAAGACTTCCAGGGTGTGTAGAGCTGTGTGCACATATTTACCCTCAGAATTTGGAAGGACTGACTCCCCTCTTCCCTTTTCATACAACTATGCAGAGAAAAGGAGAGCAGAGGAAGACATCGGGGGAGGAAAGCCTCTCTTGTCACAGTAGGCTCTCCTGAACTCTGAGCACACTAAGGAACCAAGGCGGTCACTATGCAGACCGGAAGAGCTCCGAGGCCCCGCCTTCATGCCCCCTGGCACCTCCCTTCGCTCAGCATGCCCAGCACACTCCCACAGCAGCCCTTACTCACAGTGCTGGCCCCTTCAGGTCAGGAAAAGCCTCCCTGGGGGCCTCTGCAGAGTGGCATCCTCCTCCAGACCTGTACCCACCTTGCCTCATTGTACTCAGCTCAGACATTAAGCAATGGGTGTGTATTCCCTCAGTAGGGCCCAAGCCCCAGAGGGCAAGATCTGTCACCTGCTTACTCTGGAAGCAAGGCCTGGCCTGACACTCATCAACCCAGCAGCATCATAATTAACACTGAATTGACTTCCTTCGTGAATGAATAGACAGGGAAATGCCTCAGACTGTGGGAGCCAGAGGCAGATGGCGCAAGTGGTTCATTTTCGCTGTCTTTTAACACTTGCAAGCACTGTGAATGTGCTTTTTTTTTTTTTTTTTTTTTTTTGACAAAAAATAAAACTGAACTGGGGGGGGGGGCTGGAGGTGGTGATTGATTGACATCCCCATGGGAAGCCAGACCTTGCAACCTGCAACATCCCGCCTTTACCACGACCTATTGGGCACAGCCTGTTTCCACGAAATCCAAGAAGAGGGGAGAAGCCACAAGGGTCTTCTAGTTGGAGACCTTGACTGTCATCTTCCAGGTCTTCGGTAACTTAAATAGAAATCCCTTCTTCTTAGAATCCTTCTCATTAAAACCAAAGGTTTGCCTTCTCAAATAATGCATTAGCATTTTAATCACTAAGATTAAGCGCCCTCCACCCCTCCCCGCTGCACCACCCCCTTCGCCTCCATGTGAAAGGGCCCTGGCCTGCTTTTCACAGTCTGAGGATAAAAAGCTCTTTCTGGCTGCGACAGAGTGGGGGCAACAAGTGCCCTCTGAGGGTCCCAAACAGCTTCCTGCATTTACAAATGCCCATGAAATTCCTGAAGGGATTGAAAAGTGCCCTATGCAGAAGTGTCATGAGAAAGCAACATTTCCGAGGGGAAAATCAGCCCATTGAGACCTTCTAGGGAGGAGACCAGAAAGCTCCTTGTGAGGGGCCGTGTTACCAAGTGAAGTGCCATCCAGTGTGTGACCGTGTTACTGTGACTGTGGCAGGAATACTCGTGTCGTGTAGTATTCCACGCTTCTATTACTGACCGCCTTGTTCTCAGAGTCTCAGGAGAGACTCCAGCAATGCGCCATGGAGAAGTGGCCCCCTGTAAATAGCAAAGCAGCTCTGCTCCCTGATGTCTTCATGTGAGAGGGTAAACTCGTGGTGGTTGAAAATGTACCAGTTCTGCAAAGTGGAAGGATGTCAGGTAGTTGGTGTTAGTAAACAGCTCTTTGTAACACACGGCTCTTCTTACTATTGTCAGGGGGAAACAGGATTTTTTTTTTTTTTTTTTTTTTTTTTTTTAAACACAGAGAAAGAAGCCAGTGAGCCAGGCATGGTGGAGAATACCCATAATCCTATAATAAAATAGGAGACCTCTAGGTCAAGGCCAGTTGGACTATATAGTAAGACCCTGCCCCCAAAAAAGAGGTATCTGTCAGCCCTACATTTAGGCTATTCTACATATTAGAATAGTGTGCCTTTCAGGGAATAAGCTTCTTAAGAAAATTTTCATTTATTCTTTGACAATTTCATATATGCACAATGTACTTTTATCATATCCACCCCACCCCCCACCCCCCCACCCCACCCCCCACCCCGCTCTCCCTAAACTCCTCTCAGCATGTTGAGGGCTGGGCATCACCTTTTCTTGGCACTTCTGCCCATTTCAGACAGAAGCTTCTTTGGCAAGGGTTAAGGCTAGCACCAATCTACGAGTCTAGATATAAGTATTTAGAAGGCAGTTTGGCAACATGTCCATTTATCAAGACAACAGTAACAGGCTTCCCACCATGGACTGTGACTTCCAGAGCCATGGGTGTTGGCCAGGTTTACAGTTCCAGGCATGAATATCTTCCTGCGGAGCAGGCCTCAAATCCAATCAGAAAGTGGTTGTTGCCCCACAATAGTAATGTCACTATTGTACCCGTAGGCACATCTTGCCCTGCAGCTTGCAGGGTCCAACTGTGGGTAAGGCCATTTATGATTTTTCTTCCCCAGCAGCTCATAGCACCTTCTAGCCAGCATGGAGGAAGCTTCCTGAGCAGCTCTGACTTCATTTCTATGTCTTTATGTCTATATGTCTTTAGCAATGGAGTCTTGCCATCTGGTAATGGTCACAGCCTATGTTGCTTTCAGGAGGTCTCTGGAGGTTCATTGACCAACATCTTCTTATAGAAACTATCCATACCTGACACTGGGATCCTCATTTAATAATATATGTCTTCTGGTAGAAGCATTGCCCACCCATGTAAAGTACCCCCTTTTTTTCCAGGTTTGTTCCCTTCTAGACCAGATAATGACACAGGACACGCCTTGAACTTCAGTTCCAAATCTTCCATCACTTTCAAACTAGCTTCCACTCCAGTAGTAGCTTTTATCTCCTCTCCTCACCCTGACATCCATCCTGTACTCTGGACCCAGTCATTGAAGTGCTTCTCATCGACCTGCCCTAACTAGGGAAGACACATGGAAGAATTCAGACTATGAACAATGCACCAGTTTGAAATCTGTTTCTTGCAAGTTCTGCATTTTTGAGTCCCTGTCTCCTCTGACATCACCCACAGGCTCACCCATAGATCTTGGTGGTGGAGACTTTGGTGTGGTAAGGTGGGGACTCTGACAATCTCACCCCATTCCCAAGTAGGACTTAGGTGAGGCGAGTATGCATGCTTCCTGGATCTTGTGGGAATCCATCCAGGCTCTGCTCCAGCTAACACCTGCTGACCTCAGGGCTTGTCTAGAATGTAAAGTGGGCCCAGCTCACTTGTGCATGGTGACACCCATTGCTTTTCCATAAGTGACCACATGGTCACTAGGTTGACATCTAGAGCTTGCAGACCGCACTTTAGAAACTAGACCTTTGTGTCCGTGTCTTCCCGAAGCTATCCTATCCCAAGAGCTCTTGGCTCAAGCCTCCCTAAAATGGTGCATCACACTTTCTGATCTAGGCAATTCCTCACTTCTCTCCTCAGAAGATTCTAGGTTATGTCAAGTGGACAAAACCATCTATTCCCATATCTTCACTTGATGTTTTCACATTCCATTTTCCCCTCTGTTTTCTTTTTAGGATATCATTTGGCAGGTCTATGAACCCTATCATTCTCTAGCTTCTTTATTCAAATGTCTGATCTAGAAATTGGACAGATTTGTGTGTGTTGAGATTATAATAGCAGTCCCCATTAACCTAAATATTCAGCTTAATTTTTTTTTCATTTCCTTTATCTCTGTCTTTGTGGAGTACAGACACGTGGATGAATAAGGATGAAACTTGGAATTTCCCTCAGGACTATGACCCCGAAATGATCAAGGAGGAGAAGCGGAAGGAATTAGAGCTGGAGATAAGGGTTCAGGTATGCCTACACTTGCCTCCAGTAGAAAAGAAGCCATTTGCCACAACTTTTTACACTTTTTACAATTTCCAAATTGATGAGCAATCCAAGACTTTACCTCAAGGAGACACAAAGCACATGAGATTACCTAAAAGCAGTGTATGTTCTTTGCATTTTCTCCCAGGTTGATGAGTTGATGAGACAAGAGCTGAAAAACCTTAAATTAGCTGTGAACAAAGAGATAGAACACCCTATCCGGGGGAAAAAAGGAAAAAAGGTGGGTATTAAACAACCATAGGTGGCAAAATCAACCATGGACAGCAGCGCCTGCTGGGTAGCTGGTTGTACTCAGGATGCCCTACATCAAGCATGGTTTGAATAAGAATGGTTCCCACACATTCATGCATTTGAACACTTGGCTATTGAGGAATGGGACTTCTTGGGAAGACTTAGGAGTTGTGGACTTGTTGGAGGAAGAATATCACTAAGGGGGGGAATCTGAGCATTCAGAACCTCAAGCTAGGCCTGGTGGCTCTATCTTCTTCTGCCTATGGATCTGGATGTCGAACCCTCAGCTGCTTCTCCAGCACCACATCTGCCTGTGTGTCGCAATGCTCCCCACCATGGTAATGGACTAAACCTCTGAAACTGTAAGCCCCAGTTAGAGGCTTTTTTTTTTTTATAAGGGTTGCCTTGGTCATAGTGTCTCTTCACAGCAATAGAATACTGACTAGGACATCAAACATCTCACATTTGCTGATTTCATTGTTCAGCACTCAGTGCTTGGTGATCTGGCCCTTAAGAAGAATCAACCCCGCCTTCTGAAAGGATGCGCCCCAGAACCACGCATTACAGGTTCATATCACCCTACACAAGATGGGCACTATCTGAAGGGCCATAGTAAATGCCCCAATCCCTCTGCCCTCATCTGCTCCCACAGGTTGTTCTGTAGTGAAATCCATTAGCAATGAGCATGATTTATGAGCGCAAGAATCAGAGAGAGAAACTGGATGAGTTCAAATCTTGAATTGCCACAAATCCAGCTCATGGTGGTTTGCAACAGCCAGTTGGATGAAAGCTGTACAGTTCATTTCTTGAGCCTCCTGTGTCCACCTTCATCCCACAGACAGCCCAGCAACTGGGCCAGAATGTTCAAAAGAAAACTCCACAACTCTTCCCTGGCAGTGTTGTCAAAGACAGAAAAATCCTGCAACTGCAGGAGACACTAGGCTACCCTGCCTGTGACTCATGAGTTCATTTGCACTGTGTTGAGTCTTGGTGTCTCGGGGGACACATGGCCTCAGGGTAGCGTAGCTATTCTTGATCTATTTTGTGCTGAACATGTAACTTCACTCTGAAGTCATTCAAATTGTCCCTCAGAACACTATTCTGAAGACACAACACCGTGGCCTGATGCAGTCCTTTGTCCTTTACAAGGACATCTCTTGATGCCACTTTTAAACTCCATGTATGTCTTCATGAATGAAAACAGGGTGTGTTCATGACTAGACACAGAAACTAAGCTGGTCACAGTGGAAAATGTATTTAGGAGGTGACTGTGACCTCTTATCACATGGCAGGCTTTCTCTTCCTCACCAGCAAAACCCAAGGCCACGCCAATCTTGTTTCCCTCCCCTGACCCCATCTCATTCCCTGCAATGTAGCACATACAAGATTCTCCCATGTCACAACGGTGCCGGGTGCTCTCAAGGGATCACTGGAGATTGTGTAGCTAGAAGAGTTCTCACAGCCCAGTCAGTCCCAGCCCAGGTGACCCAAGGATGACCAAGGCAAGCTAAAATGTAATCGATTACAAGGAGTCTCATAGGAGAACCATTAGCCGTGGATGGGACACACAAAAAAAGAGGACAAGCTGTGGAAATTTCCTGCACTTTCTGGAGATGGTAACTTGGTCAGAGATTATCCAATATCCTGAGTCCTTCCTAAATACAAGTCTGATTTGGAAACCCCTAATATTCACACTCTCCAGTGGCACCTCTGTGTCTCAAAACAGACAATAGTCTTCCTCAGGGAGGCTTTTGGAAACTCCATAGTGGTTCTGGTTTCTCTGCATATGAATGGCACTCTGTGTCTACTTGTGCTGTATAATTGGTGGATGTGATATTTTCTGGTGACACCATGTTAATGTCTTTCTCATACCTAAGGACCATGAATGTAGAGTTGTGTAGACATACTTACCATCTCTGGCTCGGAGCAAAACCTGAATGTATATTATTCTATGGATTGTTAAGTCTATCTCCTAGGGGGATTGGTCCCTATATACTAAATTAATATCTTGGAGTGCCACAGTCTGGCTTCCAGAGAAAGTTTAAAAAAAAAAATTGAAGAGGGAAGACTTCTAAGGTCTTTTATGGGCTCTCTGGTACCCTAAAACCAAAGCCAGATAAAGACACCAGCATAAAAGAAAGCTAGGTATCAATATTCCTGACTAACAAAGGAACACATATCTTTAGCAAGGCACCAGCAAACTGAATTTGGCAGCATTTAGATGGACTTTTTTTTTTTTTTTTTAACTCCAGGATCATGCAATGCAAGGATAGTTTGGCATGCACAGATAGGTTCCTGTGTCCCACCTCATTGATGGAGGTTGAAGGAGTTGAAAAGCCTGAATCATTTATTGTTCTTTGTCATTTCAGAGATGGGGGAAAGTATGTGACACAGTTCGATATCCTGTCATGAGAAAAACTCTCAACTAATTAAGTAAAGAAGGAATTTGCCTAGATGCATCGTAGCTATGTTAATCAACACTATGTGCTGTCCATAGGAAAATACAGACACACAGACTGACAGGCAGCTGTATGTAGATGCACCGGGATAGAGGGCCCAGGCAGCCCTGCACACAAATACACACAACTAATTTTAGTCAAAGATGCAAAAGCAATTTAAAGAGAAGACGCCTTCAGGTATCATCTGCTTGCTCGGTTTTTGTTTTTGTGAAAACGTTGCTCATTTCCACTTTTTTCCAGCAAGGTAAAGGAAAGAGAGGCAAGAAGCGAGGGAAACGGGGAAAGAAGGACAAAGACCTGACAGCTGACAGGTGAGGCGTGGACTTGATCCGGGGGTGACATGTGGGGAGTGGACAGAAGAGCAAATGAGAAATGCAGAGATGCACCCCGAATCCCAGCACAGGCCGATGTGAGGCAGCCCCTCTCAGCCCTACCATGCCCCTCCTAGACAGAGTATCTGGAGTGGTAAACACAGGAAGAAGCCCTGTATAGACTCTAGATTTTTAAAGAATGCACAACAGGACCACTTGCCTGGAGGAAAAGCTGCCCATCACATCCAAGTTCCTGTAACTTCTAAAAATTCCAATATTCACATGGGAGTCAGGGGTGGTATTTATCAAAAATGGCTGAGAAAATTACATCATGAGACTTCAGAGCATGCAAGTTGAGTTCCTTCTGGTCAGAGGGAACCTCGCTTCCTTTACAGCCTCTCCCTGTGCCCTGAGCACCTCTTCCTGTTTGCTGAGGGAGCCAGGACAAAGATTCAATGCAGCCAGCCGAGTCTCCACGGGGATGTTTGCAATCTTAAGTTTCCTTAGCCCAACTTCAGTGCTAATAGATAATTTAAATGTTTGTGTTTTGGGGCCTGTGGGCATCACATTGTCAGGGAGTTCAGTTAATGCCTGAAGATTGGAAGTCGGGCATCATTCTGAAGCATTCTTCTTCTACTGTGGGCTTTGCACATAACCATGAGTGATATCCATGGGGAAAGAATCCCACCTGAATTCTCTGGGAGTCTCTCTGCAGTCGCCCTGGAGGCAGGCAGAGTACCCCACAGCTAGCGCATGCTTGGAAGTCGCTCCTTTTGAGGTGACATTGTTAGGCTGCTTGGGGTCCACAAGTGTCCTAGGGTACATTTTGAGCTTATGGTACCCTCATTCATGGAAACAGACATCTGACATTGCATAAATGCTGAAACTGTCCAGGACACAAATACGCATGATACATGGTCATCTTGAGGAGGGTCTGGCTAGGCAGACAGGGAAAGCCACTGCTTTTATATAGTGTTTTCCTCCTTTGTTGTTGCCTTGGTGCCAAAGCAGAGTGAAGTAATGAGAAACCAAGACCGAGCACTGGGGCTCCCGACATGACTCTGCCCCTTCCTGGCTAAAGGGTCTGCCCACTTTCCTCTGCATTTGTGGTATCACCACATACAATTGTGCTGACACACATGGCTGCAGATGTGACTCCCCCACAATGACTGCTAGATGCTGGTTGTGTTCCTTGCACTTGACTCTGTCACAAACAAGTCAGAAGCAATTTTTCTAGTTTCCTTTCTGATACTGTCTATGATGAGAACACTGGTCAAAACAGCGTAGGAAGGGAGAGGGCTGTTTTAGCTAAAACCCCAGGGCATTGAGGGAAGTCAGGATGGGGACTGGAAGGCGATCCTGCTGGCTGTTCCACACAGCATTACCTCCAGCCAAGGACATCACTTACAGCCAAGCAGTACAGCAGGAACATGAAGGATGCTGATTGCTAGCCGGCTCGGTCGCTGGCTCATGCTTAGCTGCCTAAGGAATGATGCTACCCACAGTGGCCTGGGCTCTCCTTTATCAATTAAAGATGAAGACAATCCCTTGCAGGCATACCCACAAGTCAGTCTAATCTAGATGACCCTTCAGTTTAGACTCCTTTCACCAATGACTCTTAAGCGGTGTCACTGCTTAAGGGTTATAAATTATCTGAATCCTGACTCTATGTCCAAGCCCCTTTTTCTTTTTTTTTTTTTTTTTTTTTTTATGCATATAGAGTATTTTTATTTAATTTTATATAACAAAGTCCAATTAAATGAAAACAAACATTTATACACAATATTTGGGAATTTGGGCGTCGTTCTTTCCAAACTACTTCCTGCTGGTAAGGGGCGCTGTCTTGGGGGATTCCAAGAAGATTCAGATATCCAAGCCCCTTTTTCAAGAAGTATTTTTGTCATTGTTTGTGTTGCCATCGTTGTTTTGGCATGTATATACAACACAGAGAACTACACCCACATGACACACACACAGCTTGGATGATTTGCCTTCCATGTAAGAATTATCTTCAGCCAGGAGTGGTGGCACAGTCCCAATACTCAGGAACAGAGGTAGGCAGATCTTCATGAGTTCAAGACCAGCCTGGTCTACATAGTTCCAGGACAACTGGAGCTATAGTGAAACCCTGTCTCAAACAAAACAAAAAAGGGATAATCTTCAGGCTGGACATAGTGATGCATGCATGCCTTTAATCCCAGCCACTCAAGAAAGAGTGGCAGATGGAACTCTATGAGTCTAGGCTAGCCTTGTCTACATGGTGAGTTCCAGATAGCCAGGGATATGTAGAGAGACCTTGCCACAAAAAAAAAAAAAAAAAAAATCTTCAGGACTGGGAAGATGGCTTGGTTAGCCTATGAATCAGTGAGCTTAAGAAAACCACATCAGCCTCTGGCCTGCCTACACACACACACACACACACACACACACACACACACACACACACACACACACACACACACGAGAGAGAGAGAGGGAGAGAGGAGAATTATCTCCAGTATAACTCACTCTTCCTCTTTGTAAATGTTGAGCCACTATACCATCAAGTTAAAAAGAAACAGAAATTTCACAAAGGCTAATAATCTAATGATATATGGTCTTACAGATGCTAACTGAATATAAAATTCTAGGTCCATTGTATTACTATTATTGGATAATTTCTAACTCATATTTGGACCATCATGAAGACTGATGGAAAATACCCAGTTATCCACACGGTTGGATGAAAATACTGTTTTCAAAGAGCCTAATTTATCCCCAAATTGTAGAAATATTTCAAAAAATGCATTTATTTGCATATGTGAAAGCATACTTCAGGACAGTCATGGTCTTGTGTGTCAGTGTGTGCTGGTGACAGAGACAATGTGTTTCCTCCCAAGGACCATCGAGTCTCTCTACAAGGAGCTGGTTGAAGAAGGCCTGCTGATCCAGGCTCTGAAGGTCAACCTGTCTGATTACATTGGTAAAGTACACTGAGAACAGTGTGTGCATCGGTCACACGGCACTCGTGGGTTCTAGAAATGCATGTCACTTGTGTCTCTTTCCAAACAGACACCCAGTCATGGTAACTGCTGGTAAATTGATTTTAACAGTCAAGGGGGGGTTACTGTGAACAAAGGGCTCCCCTGAATAAAACCAGCCTCTTAGTATGACTGAAGCTGGTTTTCTCAGCCTGTTAGCAGAATTCCTTGAGCAGTTCTTTCTAGCATGACCTGATGTGAAGAAATGAATAGTTCATGCATTTGTGTTCACGCATTGCCCCTGGACGCCTACGTACACAGTCCTTTCACAGGGAGTTCCTTCCTGAGGACTTTTAGTGGGGTCAGAAGAGCTAGGAGGAGGAAGGTGGGACAGTGATGGCTGCAATCTTCAACTAGGGGGTTATGGGTCTTTTTAACTAAAAATGTATCTATGGTGACCTAAGAGCTTGCTAACTGTTTAAAATTTCACACAATTCTGCACCCTGATAGAGATGTTGTAGTTACTCTGGTGAAGGAAACTTCACTGGTGGTCAAGGACAGTCTCCAACAAAACCATACAGAGCAGCCACACTCAGAAAATCCAACACTAATACTAACACTGTTGCCTAGTGTATACTTCTTATGTTGTCTCCACCAGCCCTGAAATGTGTTCTTCACGACTGCACATCTTTCTCTGTCTCAGAGCCCATGAGGGTGTACATGTGGTTGTGACTCTCTATTCGGCAACTCCTTCTGTCTAGAATCCCACTTCTGTCTTAGTCAAGTTTCCTTTGCTGTGATGACTAAAGGCACCTTAGAGAGGAAAGGGCTTATTTGGCTTTCACAGCAAGATCACAGGAAGTCAGGTAAGGAACTGAAGGCAAGAGCTGATACGGAGGCCGTGGAGGCATGTGCTTACTGGCTTGCTCCTAATGGCTTGCTCAACCTCCTTTCTTATATAATCTAGGACTACTAGCCCAGGGATAGCACCACCCATAACAGGCTAGGCCCTTCCCCATCAATCACTAATTAAGAAAATGGCCTACAGGCTTGCCCATAGGCCAATCCAATGAAGGCATTTTCTCAGTTGAAGTATCGTCTTTCTATACAACTCCAGCTGAATCTAGTTGACAAAAGCAAACTTAAGCAGTACACCCATCTCTCTGAGCCGTTCACAACTGCACCTTTTCAAAGGGTCTGGGTTGCTTTACAGTCAGCCCCTCTGTTGTGCTTCTTGGATGGTTTCTTCACGTTTTTGTCCAGGTTCAACATTTTTGGCAGGAAAACTACATGTGTTGGTGTGTCCTTGGGCCTCCCATTGGAGGTACCTGGAGCCTCTTTGTCTCACCCAGTACCATTTCAGTTGAACTGGTAGTGAAGGCACTGTCCCCAGACTCTCACTTGGAGAGATTCCTTTGTCCCTTTACAGATGATTAACAGCTGTGAGGGAGTGGGGGGTGAGGAGGACTTGGGACTCTAAAGATTGTTCCAAGCCATCTTTCATGCAAATATCTGAGAATCTACTAGGGATTTTTGCCACCCAGATGTCTATTTACCTCTTCATCTCTCAGATGTATGCTCAGGCAAGCCTCACCCAACCTTTATTTGTCTGGGAGTTTGGCTCGGTTTACTGAGCCTTGATTATGGAATCCTTTCCTGTTCTATGGTCTTAGCATTTCCTGATTACATCACCATCCCATGGTTTACCTTCTTAGGTTTTTGTACACGTGTTACACATATGTACATGTTTGTGTGCATATATGTACACAGGTATGTGGAGAGAACTGACCTATGGTGCCTCCCACTGCCACACTCTACCTTGTTTTTTGAGACAGGGTATCTCATTGAACCTGGGGCTCACAGATTTGGCTGGCTAGATAATGAATTCCCCTACATCCTCCGGTCTCAGCCTCCCCAGCACTGGGCTGATCTACCCCACCGAGCCCAGCTTTCACAAACTCAATTCCTCATAGTTGCCCAGCAAGCACTTTACCCTCTGTATCGCGTCCCCTGCCCTGGTTTCCTTCACCTCCCTTAATCCAACTCAGCCCTCTTGGCAGAGCTGGGCAACATAGGAGGCTACTATACAATGCAGTCATTCAGTCCCCAGCCTCTGACTGGGCATAGACCTGCCAGCCAGATGGAGGGGGCTTAGTATAAAGCTTTGATAACTGGTCATTACCTCCCCAAGAGCCATTTCTGATTTGGGGACCAGTCACCTCAAGTCTGCAGGTACCCTTCATCAGAAAAGCCAAACAGACTTCCCACGTTAAGGGAGGTGTAGTCAAGCAAGGTGAGATGTTCTTAAACCACTGGGAAGAGCTTCCTTCTCAGCATCGCTTAGCCAGTTCGTATCTGCTCTTCTAGTCCAAAAGCCAGTGAAGCGATCAGCTCTCACTCATCCTCTGGCTCACTGGTTTTGATTTTCTTTTCTTGGTTTCTCCAGCATTTTTATACGGAGTAGCCCCTAGCTGGCCCTGGGTGAATCGTACCCTATTAATGATACCATCTCATGACCCTAATTTTCCTCTATGTAGACAGGAGAGCAAGTGTGTGGAACAGGTCCTCCTCCTAATATAAAGACCTTATATCCAGCAGACTGCACAGCCTGCACATCCCAAAGACCAGGGCCGCAGTGCAGGTCCAGCTGTGACTGCTCAAGCATTTGAGCATCTTAACCAGCTTTTGGAGCCCTGTGATTTGCAGTTGCTCTCTCACATCAGCCCCCTTAAAATTCCAGACATCCTCCACACCGCAGCAGATCAGGGCCACCTCTCTGCTCTCAGCTCTGCCCCTGCCCAGATGCTCATCTCCAAGCACTGGCCCTGTACCCAGAAGCCCAGCAGCAGGCTCTTGGCTAGATCTCAGGTGTGCAGGAAACAAAACATCTAATTTGGCTCTGTAACCACTGTGAGGTCAGCGCTGTGCAAACACACTCATTTTAAAGAGCCGAGAGCCTACCCCTAGGGAGCAGCACACTCCAGGTTCCTGTGTGAAACATTCTGGGCACTGACTCCTTTACCGAAGGGTTAAGGCTGGATGTCTAGTGCCTGGGACCCTTGACTGGGATAGGCAAGGCTAACCCGCCCCAGCTGTCCAGAATCCCTGCCCTTTTCTGGATCTTCCAAAGCCTGCATTGTGCTACTGTGGAGTGGAGATGACAGTAGCAGCAATGAATGGATGTCAACACTGCCTGTCACACCCCCAGTTCTCCGCCCTTCATTAGCCACTGCTCCTGCTATCCCTCTGCCAATGCTGTTGGCACCATGAGAAGGGCCGTTATCTTCCAGGTGCCCTGCATGCCCCACGTCCTCCTACACCCCCTCTACACAGAGCACCAAGAGATGCAGCCACCTACAAACAGCTCAAGGTTCTCCTGAGTGACCGTGGTACACAGTGGCTCATCAGCTGCTATGCTTGATGAGAGATGGACCAAAGCCCTCTTACTGCCACTCATATTCTCCTCGGTGCTCATCACGCCTGCTAAAGCTTGCGAGATCCCACAAGCCTCCACAACTCCAGTCCCAAAAGCTACGGAGTATGCCAGCACCGCACACAAGCATGATCTTGCAAGAGTTCACTGGAGACTCTTTTTGGAAGCTGGGGAGCTGACGCCAAACACAAACTTAGCTCTTCGGCATTTCCAGAAATTCTCGGTGTGCATCGTTATAGCCCAACTTTAACTTTGTAACGATGCAACACTAGGCTTGTCCATAGACCATCATGCCACAGACCGTCCCCACCATGCATGGTGAGCTCGGAGTGGCAGGGCTGAGACAGCCAATGTCGGTGATGTGCCAAGAAGCACTGTTTGTGTTCATGGACCCTCCTGTGAACCCTCACGCTGTCCCTTAAGGATTTCTTTAAGAGGCTGGATTACTGGTTGGGGAGACAGGTGAGTCAGCATGAGGACTTGACTTCTGTCCCTGGAACACATGGACAAGGAGTCGGGTATGGTGGCACCTCCTAGAACTGGGGACAGTAACCCTGGTGCTCACTGGTCAACAAGCCTACCTACCTACTGAGCTCCAGGCCAATGAGAGACCCTGTCTCCAAAAGCAAGGTGGACAGCTTCTGAGAAACAACAGAGCTTGACCTCTGGCACACACACACACACACACACACACACACACACACACACACACACGCGCGCGCGCATGCACACACACACAGAGGCATTCTGATAAACTGCTTCATTCTTTACTCCTTTATGGCTTCCATATTGCATAGAGCGGGAACACAAGTAGCTGACTTTGTTCTAGTTTTTGGGGTCCTTTATATTTCTGGCTGCTCTCAGCTGCGCTCCTCCATGCTGCCTCTCTTTATTTTTGCTCACTCTATACCTGTGTGGTACGGCTGTCTTAGCAGGGACCACAAGCCTCGAGGCTTGAACGGTAGAAACTGAGACTCAGGGCTCTGCAGCCTGGAAGTCTAAGGCTGAGACATGCAGAGTGGGCTCCTTCTGAGGCTGTGAGGAAAGTGCACTTCTCCGCTTCTGATGTGTGGATGCTCTTTACCACTTCTGCATCCTCACCCTTGGGGCCAATCCTCCCACCAAGCATGTCGTTCTCTGTATCCAATCCTCCCCTTCCCATAAGGCCAGGAATCCTGCTCATTTGCAGGCCACCTGGTGGTCCCATTATCTGAAAGGATCCTCCTCACAGGTGAGGTCACATGGTAAAAAGCTGAGTTTAAAGACTCCAGTGGACAGGTTGTACTGGAACTCAGGCCAGCCGTCAGGGTGTTCCGTGTTTGTTCTCTTCCGATTGTCCTGCAATCCCTAGCCCCCTTTCACGTCCTCTATCTCAAATACCTGTTCTTATGGCTTTCCCCTTTTCTCTCCCACCTGGAGGATCTGGTGCTTGTGCAGGAGATCTGGAAATTTCTGAACTCTGACTCTGGAGATGGGAAGGGATAATGGCTCGCATTCTGGGCCTTCATAAAACATAGACATGCTTTCAGAGTGAGCCTCATAACTTGGCAAACAGCCCGGGCTAGTTGGACCCTTCTCTCTATCAGAACCAACACCCACTAATTTAATTTAATATAATTTGTTTAAATAAAATCTGCTAGGTTCCAGAAAATATGGTCTGCCTGGATATTAATATGGATTTACATAAGCAGGAAAATTGAGGTCACTTTCACAGCCCCCTCTAATGTCCTGTTTACTGGCAGTAAGCACTAGATTTAACGGTTGCTACAGGGTCCCTTTCCCTTCTGGTAGAGGCTAAATTAACCATTCTGCTATTTATTACTTGCTTGTTAAAACGCAAGAGTCTCTGGATCTGTAATGGAAGTGTCCACTATCACTCATTTCACCAACCAATACCGGCGTCCTTGCCAAGGACTTCTTTTTTATAATGCCGAGGATTTGGAAGGCTGCCCTGCACAAGACAGCAGCCAGTCTGTCAATTGTAGCTCTAATTTCCCACATGCTTGGAAATGCTATAGGCATTGAGTGTCTTTGACATTTTGCACACAGGAGTGTGCACATTAACACACACACACACACACACTCACACACACACCACACACCGGTGTCATTGAGCATCTACATTGAGCATCTGAGGGGACAATCAAATGCCCTGCCTCCTTCCAGGAGTATTTTCCCTGTGGGTTCAGAAGCAGATCATGGGAGTCATAGAGGTACATAAAGGTCCGTCCTTGTGACAAATGGAGACAGCCAAACTAATTTTCTTGGTGACCTTATCTAAATGAGTTAGAAAATAACACTTCAGATTTATGGCCAGTTACAATTAAGCCCTTTGATATCTTTAATTAAACCTGTAGAGATTTATTTCCATATTATTCCTTTGGTAACCCTTTAAAAATGATAAAAATGTAAATTAATATTACCCTCAACAGGAGATGCTTCTATTTATCCTACATTAGACTCAGACCCTGCCTTTCTCATCACACTGCACGGGTACATATTCCACATGGACCTTAAATAATTTATTGTGGAACTTTCTGCCAGTTTAAGAAATAATCTCTTAGGGTCTAAAGCAAAAGCTGCAACATTTTAGCTTCTTTGTATGTCACTCAAAATTTTATCTCACTTCACACAACCCAATGCTTTCCTCTCTCTCTCTCTCTCTCTCTCTCTCTCTCTCTCTCTCTCTCTCTCTGTCTGTCTGTCTGTCTGTCTGTCTCTCTCTCTCTCCATGGTGACTGTGAGTGACAACGCTGAGGCTCAAATTCAGGGCCTGGTACGTGCTAAGCAGCCAGTATTTTTTTCCATGTGAGATTATTGTAACTGTTAATGTAATTTGCCTTTTATTACTTCTGGTATAGCTATGTTTTCTTGCCTGGTTCCTCTTGGGTTCATTCTGTAGCTGTGATAAAAATCCTCTAGCCAAAAACAACCCGGGGAGAAAAGAGATTATTTGGTTTACACTTCCAGGTCATAGTTCATCATTGACAGAAGTCAGGGCAGGAACTCTAAGCGGGAACCACTCATGGAGGAAGACTTCCTGCTGCCTCACCCTTCTGGCTTTTGATCACTTACTCATCCATACTTACCTAGCTTTCTTACACAGGCCAGAACCACCCGCTAGGGGCCCACTGCAGGATGAGCCTTCCTGCATCAATGGATAAACTAGACCCCCCCCCCATAGACAAGTTCACAGGTCAATCTAATCTGGACAGTGCCTTGATCAAGGCTCTCCTCTCAAATGACTCTGTATTGTGTCGGGTTAATAGTTCAATATGGCGAGGCCAGATGTGCCCGCCATGGTGGCTGCTCTTCCGTGTTGCATTTATGTTCTCGACCCTTCATTTTTCACATCAGCTTGGTTTCCTTCCTCCCCAGGTGAATACAGCTATCTGGGGACTACTCTTCGCCAGGTAGCCATAGAGCCCATGCCCTCCCTCCTGGATGTCAGACAGCTCATCACACTGTATGGGATCTTGCCTTTGGGTAAGGACTGACCATTCCCACAAGCCGAGGCAGCAGCCTCCCTTCTTGCCTTGGTGGTATTTCCTGTTCGACCCTAAAAGGACATTTCACTTTAGTATGAAGCCTTATCTCGCTTCCATAGTACATGCCCAACAGAGAAGGGCATGCTGGGAAGAATGTTTCTGTGACATCTTTGGGTCCAGTTTGCATTATGGCAGTCGGCTGGAGCCCAAGAGCTAAGGTGGCTGTGTCCTGATCAGACAATGCCTCTCTGAAATTGGTGGAATGTCTTTCCCCAAGCCTTTTCCAATCTCCCCTTACATCCCAAAAGAATTCTCCAGACACAGTTCTCCAGACACAGCTCTAGGCTATGCCTAAGGATGCAGGAAGGCGTGGGGTCAGCTTGGTGGCTGCCTTGGGAGGACAACACCCCAACCGGCAGAGCTCTGCCCGAAGCTCTGAAACTAGAAAACCCTGCTGTTTCACCTGCTTCAATAACGTTCTGGCTTTGACTTAAGAACTTAAGTCTGTTGGCAAGAAAGCCTTATGGCCTCTCCTGATGTTACATCAGAAGTAGTAAATGTAATTTAAGGGCAATATAAATATACACGTACTATATTTCATATTGTTCCTCATACAAATATAAAATACTGGAGCATATGATTTAATGTCAACACACTCGATATGTACCATTCACAGGCCCAACTTAATAAAGTACCTGGAGCCTTGAAACTCATTGTGACATAATGGGAGACAGGAAACAAGTGAGCCAGTAGATTTGCAGGGAACTCCTGCTGCCCAAGGGTGCGCTACATTTGTTCCCTTAGTTTGCCAGTCCCTGGTGTGCACGGTTTTCCATTCTGTTCCAGAAACCTTCCTTCAGGAGGCAGTGGGTCCCCTCTACCTCCCCCACCCCTTTGTCCTGGAGGACCCCTCCCATGACCCCACCCCACCCCACTCTACCCCCATCCCTGGCTGTCATCAACAGCTGCCAAGCCCTCCCGGCCAGAGTTGGCTGCAGAGCTTGATGTCACCTGTCAGGAATGCAGACACAGCAAGGCAGATGAGCTGTGTGCAGATATGCTTCAGGGTGTTTGATGTAAGCCTCATGTGGCACCCCCAGCTGCAAGAGAGAGCAATGTGAGGAGATGCTGGCTGCTGCCTGCACAGTTCCTGAAGAGGCCATTGGCCTCCCCCACAGTCACTGGGGAGACCTCGAGTGGAAATTGGTATCCTGTTGCAGAAGGAATGAGGCAGGGCCTTAAGGGACATGGGTTGTTTGGGTCACTTTGGTAGCAGCCACTGACAGAAGCCCACAGAGGCCACTTTGCACATCTGGTCATGAGACAGAGTCCCATCCTAAGTGACTAGGGCTAGGGTTGAGGCTCCATAAACCACCCCCCCCCAGGGTATAAGAGAAAGCCCAGGACGTGTCTAATCAGGTCCCGGAAGATCCAGAGAAGAGAGGCCGAGGGTGATGGGGTGGGCGTTTCTCTGGGTAGATCTGGGTTTGCTCCTGTGGTCACTTTACCTCCTGAGCCCTACTGTCACCTACCCTCCAGAGTCCTCTGTCTCCAGATGGCAGAAGTGGGGTCAGGGCCTAGAACACCAACCTTCTTGTTACTCTGCCGTCCTCCAGACCTTAGACAGGTCTTATGCCCAAAGCTAGAAGTGTCTTGAATCTCTAGGCCACTCCGTGAGCATGTCAAGAAGAGCTGCAGGTGCCAGGCCTGCGAGGCTCCTGGCTCTCTGGGTTAGCTGAGCCCCAACCACGGGGACCTTCCCTGGACCACCCTCCTTGCCTCTGAATGGTCTGGGCGACCCATCCCTCAAAACTTGACATCCCACATGTGCGAGTGGCACATCTCCCCCGGCATCTCCAGATTCCATCTCCACGCTGCCCCCCCCCAGCCATCCCTTCCCAGTCTCCCCCACCCCTGGCCCCAGTTCCCCCACCCCTGGCGAGCCTACAGTTCCCATCCCTTTCAGACACCCGCCCACTGTCACCCGTGTCCTCAGCTGCTGCCACTGTCTTCCCCTGACACCGCACAGGTCAAAATGTACACGGCTTCCTCAAGAAGCTTGGTTAGTCATTGTGCCTCCATCGCTGGGGCTTCTCACACCCTGCTCCTGGGCTCTCCTCCTCCAAAGTCTCCTTCTCCCAGAGTCCCAGAGGCCCCTCGCTTAACTTTAGCTTCTCCAGCATCTGTGGATCTTGAGCTTCCACATACCCTTTGCCTCCCACTGCAGGTACAGCTGAGTTTCAGTCCCGTCCTGGATTCCCACCCAGTGCAGGGTTCCCTTCTCAGGGCTCAGTGCCTTCCTGACCATAAACTCTCAGAAGCCTATATCAAGGCATTTCCACATTTAAACCCCACCCTACTTAGCCACAGGGGCACCCAGGGTTTGCCAGGGCCATGGCCAAAGCATCCTTCCATGTCCAAGACTGAACAAAAGAGGAATGAATGGCCTCTTTCTCCTGCCAGCAAAACAGTGTACCTCCTTCTTCATGTCATGTTGCTGTAGCCCCCCACTAACCATAAACAATGCACTCTTGTTTATGTCACTGGAAACAATATGGAGACTGGTGAACAACTATAAAAATATGTTTCTGATTTTCACATAATCCCCTGTATCTTTCCAATTATTCCTGAAAGGAAGGAAAGGAACAAATTATATTGAGCCACGCATGATGGCACATTGCTGTGATCTTAGCATTAGAAAGGCAGAGAGAAAGGATTGGGCCAGCCTGGCGTATAGGATGAGATCCTGTCTCAGATCTTATTATTAATATTATTATCATTATATTCACATATTAACAGTCGAGACATGGCACCCAGAGTCATCAAAACCAGAGTCCCTCAAGGACAGCTGTTCCCCTCACCACACTGAGCAGCATTGAGTTCTATATGCCATGTACTTACTGAGTACCTCCTGCTCTGTTCTCTCATCCCCAACCCCATGCTGGAGACCACCTGGCCTGAAACATAGACTGTGGGGATGAGGACAAGAGGCAGCAAAATGATAATCCAAGTTACTTCATTGTCAAGTGCATGGTGACCTTTGCTCTTGACAGTCTAGAGCCAGCCCAGGACACATACCTCCAGGCTTTGTCTCCTGGCCCTTGGCCTTTCCGTCTGTCTCATATGCTTTAATGCATAGTAGGAAAGAAGGTTCCAGGGGAAATGAATGCATCTTAGCCAACCTCATTGTCTGTCTCTCTGCATTCCATTCCCAAGTTCTCAGAGGATTTAGTGAAGCTCTTGACAGAAAAACCCTCCAACCATTACAAAAAGAAAAAGAAAAAGAAAAAGAAAAAAACACTTGGGTAAACTATTGCAGGAATCTATAAAATTGTAAGTTTGGAAAAATGTAGGACCAGGGAATAAAAGCTGGCCTGGAGGACCCCCAGAGGCCCCAGAGCCCATTAGGGCAGAAGATGAGCCTTGGGCTTGACATGATTTCCATGTGTTCATCATGGCCACAGAGACCCCTTCATACAATGCAGCCACAGCCTAGGGCACCCTAGCATCATAAGGACTGGTTTTCTCGACAGCACTCAACAGCACTGGCCTCTGCCTTTTGCAGGGTCCCCAGAAGTGCACGAGAAAGCTCCCTTGGTGAAGTCACTGCTGTTGGCCGGGCCTCCAGGGGTAGGAAAGAAAATGCTGGTCCATGCCATCTGCACAGAAACCGGCGCTAACCTCTTCAACTTGTCTTCCTCGAACATCGCCGGGAAGTACCCAGGCAAAAACGGCCTACAGATGATGCTGCACTTGGTCTTCAAGGTACAAGCTATGGCTCTCCTTTCTATTCTAAGCAACACTCATTCCTGCAGGTCATTTTCCTAGGCCAGCAGACACATTGGTGTTGAACTCCCATTTCACACCCCCATAAATTAACTCGTTCTCACATCTGGCTGAGCATCCCACAATTAGAAACAGCTTCTTTGGAATGTAAACACCCTACTGTGCTGCCCAGCCCTGACTCCGGCGGCCACAGGGTTCCTTGCTGAAAATGCCTGTGTGTCTCCTGGAAAATCAAACCCACGTTTAACTTCCTCAGCTCATCAGCATCAGATCTGTGCTTGGACGGTTTCTCATATGGTATAAATTATGGCACTCCAATACTCTCTGAGCTCTGGCTCTCCCAATGGGTCTGAAGGAGAAACCTGCAGGGAGCTAAGCCCAGCACAGGAGGCTAACAGACAAGGATGACACAGGGTCACAGAGAGCATCTCAAAGGACCAAGTGAACTGCCAGCTCTGTGACCTTAGTTAAGTTCTTAACAACCCCTTTGGGTCCCATCACCAAAAGGAATGAATCCTAAAGAACTCTGATAGGAATCTTTTATATACGCTATGAAGATTTTACAAGATGTAATTTTGACTTGGCTGAGGACCCTTGAGGTTATCCCCTGCTGGTCAACCTGCCTTTAGTTGTTAGACTGTCAGCTTTGACTATGGAAACCAGTGTGGCTGCACATACTGTCCAGGCTGGGCTCTAGGCTGAACCTGCCTTTCAGAACTATAAAGCATGGGGATGGTAGTGTTGTTGAAACACAGAAGTGGGCCCCTCCTAGGAATGCTGGCCCATTATATCTCATGAGGGAAATGGCCTTTGTTCCCTCGGCTACCTCTCACCATAGGGCCTTGAAGGAGTGTTGCTCTTCCCTTCCTTAATGCTTGTTACAAAGGAACCCTACAGCACAACGCTTCCGGTAATGGGACGTCTATCTGATGTACTCTGCTCATATGACTAACTCTTCTTGTGAAATATCTCTTCAGGACCTCGACTACTCCGTATGAGTAGATGGGTGAGGTGGGTGTGTGTTTGTGTTTGCATATGTGGGATGCACTTGTGTGAATGGGGGTAAGCACACACGTGGGTAAGAATACATATGACAGCCAGAGGTCAACCTTGGGTGTCATTCTTCAGATACCATCCTCTTCACTTTAGGAGACAGGGTCACTCACCGGTCTGGACTCACCAAGTAGGCTGGGTTTGCTGGTCACCCAGCCCCAGAGATCTGCCTTTCTCTCCTTCCCCAGCTCTGGATTGGAAGAGCACACCAATGCCCAGCTGTTTTAAATGAGTACTGCCTGGGGAATCAAGCTTGGGTCCTCATTATTCAGCAAGTGCTTACCAACTGAGCTCCCTTAGTGCTTGCTTATCTTCCGTCTTGGCTTCCTGGTTTGTTAGAGCCGTTTGTGTATCCTGGATGGGAGTCTTCATTATACATGAACTGTGAGCACCAGCATTTCCCTAGCAGACACTCTTGTGCACACTGCTCTGTATGTGTGCTGATTAGTTCAAACCGTCAACTTGACACAGCCTGGAATCGCCTGGGGAGTGTCTCAAAGACGAATTGTCTAGATCAGGTTGATCTGTGGGGATTGTCTTGGTTGCTAATTGATGTAGAAAGACATTGTGGGCAGCACCATTTCCTAGACAGGAGGTCCTGAAATGTGTAAGAATAAAGAAACCAGGGGCTGGACAGATGGCTCGGCAGTTAAGAGCGCTGGCTGCTCTTCTGAAGGTCCTGAGTTCAATTCCCAGCAACCACATGGTGGCTCACAAACCATCTGTAGTGAGATCTGGTGCCCTCTTCTGGCCTGCAGGCATACCTGCAGACAGAACACTATATACGTAATAAATCTTTCTTAAAATTGCTTTTAAAAAAAGAATAGAGAAATCAAGCTGATAGCCATTCATGCCCCTCTGCTCTTGACTGTGAATATGATATGACAGCTGTTTGAAGTTTCTGCCTTGACTTTCCTGCTATGATAGCCTGAAGCCTAGAAGTGTAAGCCAAATGAACTCTTCCTGCCCTGTGTCTGTCTCCTGGCCCCCTGAAGCTGAGGTCCAAACCCAGAGCCTTGTGTGTGCTAAGTAGCACTCCAGCACTGAGCTAAACCCTAACACCCCACTGCAATGTTGCTTTTGGTCCGGATATTTTACCACTGCAACAGAGATAAAATTAGAATAGTATAGAGTCTCACAACACCTTATGATGTAGACACTGCCACTACCTTCATCACTGACAAGAAAACAGACACACAAAATGAAGGAATAACTTTCCAGGATCACAGTTTTGCTATGTGATCCCCAAATTTCATCCAGATCCTCCATGGTTCACAACCTGAGTTATGAATGCACAGCTTGTACCTGGGTCCCTTCACTTCACACATGGTTCCTGGTGTGACTCTGGGCACCACACCAGTGACCTGAGCCTCGTGTTCTCCTTCTAGGAAAGTGAGAGCAATCACTGCACTTCCAAGAGTAATCACAACCCAACATTATGTAGACAGGAAATACTAGACATCAGGCTTCAGGCTATTAAAATGTAGACCTGCACATCATCCACCAAGGCCCGGTGGTGTCAGAAGCCCGACACACACCTCATTAAGTGTCACCTTTGTTGTGTATGTAGCTGATTAATGAAAGACCCAGAAGTCTCAGGAGTGGGAGTCATTCAATTAAAGACTGCTCCAAGAGGCCACTGTGTCCTGGCATGGCTGACATGGCAGTTATATGCATTTAATTAACCAGAGAAAGGCAGAGTTAGGAGCTTGCTTAAGTCAGTCAAGGGCAGGAAGCTGGAGGGTGTGGCTCACCAGGATCCCAGGAAGCCAGAGGGTGTGGCTCAAGGGCAGCAAGGCTGGCTCTGTGGGGTTTGCTGGAGATGAATACAGAAGGGTCTTACTACCCATCATGCCTCTTGAGACTAACTCCTATACTAATCTTTGGAGAGAAGCTGCAACAAGCTAGGAAACTGTGTGTGCTCTTGGGGCCAATTAGGGGCACTCAACATCCCACACCACCCCAAAAACAGCTGGGAACCTCTGATTCGCTTGTCAGCTACAGATTCAAGTCCATTTTGTGACCATTGTTTCTGAAGCATCCTTGTATTTTACATCCTGACCTCTTCCCTAAGTACAGTAACAGCACTATTGTGTCCGTTCCTATTAGCCCCACCCCGCCGGCCCCAACACACTGCCCATCAGAATGGACAGCCTTTCTGGAAGGTCCCTGCATCCCTACTCTTTATCTCCCCTGCCTCAGTTAGTTTACCGCCTTTGCATCAACTAGACCCCCAGTTTTAGGATACTTCTGCACTGTTGTTGGCTATCATTCTGTTTCAAAACTAAGTTAACCTCGTGCTAGAACTTGAAGTCACTTTGCTAATTGTATCCAAGATCACAAGAAGACAGCAATTAACAATGGAATGTTAAAATAGTGGGGGTGCAAAAGAAAATGTCTTCGAGTGCCACTCAAATGAACCCCTAGATGTCCCCAAAGAGTGACATCTAGGTGGCTCCCTGACACCACATACACACATATACACGTATGCTCACACACACAGGTGCAGGGGTGAAGATGGAAAGAGCATCAGGAAGAGGGGAAGAGGGACAGAAGTGAGAGCCTTGGTACAGCATCAGGTGGGAAAATCAAGGGTCCCGGACACTGAGCATAAACTCTCAAAGGGTGTTAGTAAAGAATGTGAACCCCAATAACCTGAACCCTTCCATTCCTCTCCAGCACGGCAGCACCTCTCTCTCTCCCTTTCTCTCTCTCCCTTTCTCTCTCTCTTTCTCTCTCTCTCTCTCTCTCTCTCACACACACACACACACACACACACGATGATCTCTCTCCCTCTCTCTCTGTCTGTCTGTCTGTCTCTCTCTCTCTCTCTCTCACACACACACACACGACAATCTCTCTCCCTCTCTCTCTCTCTCACACACACACACACGACGATCTCTCTCCCTCTCTCTGTCTGTCTGCCTCTCTCTCTCTCTTCACACACACACACACACACACACACACACGACGATCTCTCTCCGTCTCTCTCTGTCTGTCTCTCTCTCTCTCACACACACACACACACACACACGACGATCTCTCTCCCTCTGTCTGTCTGCCTCTCTCTCTCTCTCTCTCTCTCTCTCTCTCTGTCACACACACACACACACACACACACACACACACACACACGACAATGTGCCCCTACAGGCAGGGAGGGGTCCCCACCATCAAAGGTTCCCTCCCTCCAGCTAAAGGGACTAATCCACCAGTTCTACCAGTGCTCATGGGATAAAGAGAATGAGTGAAGGAATGGGTGAGAGCCGTCCTTTCTGGCTTGGTAAACTGAGGCAATAGCTTAAGAAGCATTAGTTGGGTTTTATTTTGCTAAAGTTCCCCCTATCCATTGAAGAGGGATCCTGTAGGAGAGCATCCTCAAAACATCCAGGACTCACAACTGTAACATGTATGATATAAGCATGTTCTAACAGCTCAGACAATGTGTCCTGAGGTCTGATGCCCGTAGTGACCAATGGGATTTATAGAACTCAGTGATGGAGGCCTCTTTGCTTTCATGAAGATCCGGCTTAGAAATTGACAGAGACATTTGATATTTGATAGGACTGAAGAGCCCTCTGCTGGCCATGGAGTGAACTATCCCACATGACTGCTAGAGGTTCAATTGCATTTAATTGGCCATGACCTCAAACTATCTGCACGATTTAAATGAAGCTTCTCCATAGCTATGTGAAAATTAAAAGAGATACCGTTTTTCATTAGCAAATTGTCAAAATTGTTTGGCTAATACTCACATATGCAAAAAGAGTATAGAATAGCAGGCCGGAGCACTTACTGTTGGTAAACAGAGCCTCCAAGCGAGAGAGGTAGATAGACAGGTGAAACTTCTAGAAGGTCAAAGTACAGGCAGGGAGAGCCTCCAGTAACAGCGACTATCAGCATCTTAGACATGAAAACATCTGAAA